CTTGCCCAGTAAAAACAAATGTCAAATTCTCACAACCTGTTCGCTGAATGTCCAAACTGATATGTTCYGTTAACATCTGTCTTCAATGGTTAAGTCAGCTCCCAGTGTGTATCCCAGGTAAACTCGTACCTCCCCAGTAACTGGGGCCATTTTCTATCCAGAAATGCCTCAGTGCCTGATTGATTGACTCCGMTGCAGAATAAAGGGAAAGGAAAGCTTGCTGATCATTTTGAGGAGTCCCAGTGTGGTCATAATGGTGCCAAAACTGTGTTGGTAATTTTTTAACCTTTTTTTTAGTTGTAAATGGACACAATTTCTCTATTTTATTTATTTATTTTTTATGTAGTGCTGAGGATCGAACCCAGTGCCTCACGTATATGAGGTAAGTGCCCCACCACTGAGCCGCATCCCCAGCCCCTGTGTTGGTAATTTTTGTTACAAAGACAGGTTTTTCTCTTCTTCCTGCTCCTCCCTAATCTCTCCTGCTCTGTAATCTCAGGGGAAACAGGATCACATTTCTTTCCCATCCTAGGCAGATTTAACTGTCCTAGAGCACACACCCACCACAGGAAAGAAGTAATTCAAACTTGGGGATGGCACCCGAAGATCTCAGAATTGACTATGTGCCCAATTAATAAGTGAATTATAACTCTGTCAAAGAATTCATGGAATGTAGCCTTTGAACCACCTTAAAAAAAAAAAAAAAAAAAGCCCTTTGCTCCCCTAGATGGGCAGAATCACAGCCTCTGGGACCAGAGTCCCCTGTGCTTCTCCTTTGCTAGTAAAGCAAGAAAACTTTTTCCTTTTTCTCAAAATCATGTTCTCATTATCAAATTGGCATTTAGGATGAGGACCGAGCTTTTGGTAATAGGTCCTACTGTCACCAGAAGAGGTCTGAGGAGTTCCCAGAGAGGGGGACCTCAACTCAGGACCACTAGGGTTCTTGACTAAAGAAATGAATTTAAGGACACATTGGTTTGAGACATAAACAAAAATTTGTTTAGGAAAGCAGAAACATTCAAGGAAGAATGCTGGCCATCTTGAGAGAGGCATTTTGGGGTCCTCAGCTCTTCCTTTAAAGGAGAGTTGGTGAGGGGTGTGTGTTGGGGTTTGACACTGGTCAGTGCCTAGAAGGTTTACTATTCCTGAAGGTGAGATAAAAAGGACTTCAAAGAATGTGTTATGCTGGGGAAAGGGGAGGGAAACTGGCCACTGCCTCATCTCCAGTTTATATTTTATTTTTGTACGGGAGATTGAACTCAGGGGCACTTAAACAGTGAGCCACATCCCCAACCCTTTATTTAGAAATAGTGTCTTGCTAAGTTGCTTAAGGCCTCGCTAAATGCAGAGGCTGACTTTGAACTTGCAATCCTCCTGCCTTAGCTTCTGGAGCCCCTGGGATTACAGGATGAGCCACTGCGCCTAGCTCATTTCCCATCTTGAGAYAGGGATCAAAACAGAAAGGATGCTGGGCTTGGTGGCATACACCTGTAATCCCAGCAGGTTAGCGCAGAAGGCTGGGGCAGGAGGATCTCTGAGTTCAAAGCTAGCCTCAGGAAAAACGAGGCGCTAAGCAACTCAGTGAGACCCTGTCTCTAAATAAAATACAAAATAGGGCTGGGGATGTGGCTCAGTGGTCTTGTTCAATCTGGTTACCGCCCCCACAAAAAAAAAAAAAGAAAAAAAAAGGAAAGAAAAGAAAAGAAAAAGAAAAGAAAAGAAAAAGAAAAAAACCAGAACCTTGGTTATTCTAAAATAAAGGTATGTACTCAGAGTATCTGAAGGAATCCATCTGCCCACTATGCACACAACCTCTCTTGGAGGCACAGTGTGGCTCTCCATGCTATTCCATGGCCTGCCACTGCCCAGGACCATGTGAACAATAAAATATCCGAGCCCCTCTACTGAGTCCTCCAAGTCTCTTCTTTGGGATCAGTGTACAGTATGCTGCAGCTCTTGCAGCACCGAGGTTGAACAGTGGGTATGGGAAGGTGTGTGGGATGACATCAGTCTGACCGTTTCAAGACAGTTTGTGGTGGCCTGGTTGTTCTCAGGGTCCTCAGGCTTGAGGTAGGATAGGTACAAAGGAGACAAACAGGAAAGTAAAGAGAGACTGCAGTTTAAGTCTAAAAGCTCCACAAACACCCTCACCTTCACCTCCAAGGCTGTTCTGTTCTCTGCTGTTAGCAAGAACTTGACACAAGCAAGGCCATTTTGAAATGTATCCTCCTCCGTCTTAGAACAAGAATCACCACAAAGTCACTCTGACTCAGCCTAACCTAAACACCACCAACACCATGCAAAGAAACCCCAGGTCTAGCAGCACAGAGAAAGGAAACTATTACCTGGGACTGAAATCCTGAAGACACAGAAGGTCACCCCTGGAGGACCCTTCCCTAATAATGCCCCTTTTAATGGCCTAAGTGCAAAAATCCCCCCAATCTCTCCCTCTCCTCTACTCCAGATTGTAAATGGAAGATGGATCTCCGTCTCCTGCCCACGCCCACAGATTTGTCCCAAATAAATCTGTTACTAAGGAGCCTCCTCTCCTGTTTTCTTCATTCAGTTCTTTCTTTACATCCTCCAGGCCTGAATTCTTAAAAAGTCCAGTAAATCTTAGAGTACTATAAATCCAGTTGATTGGTTCCTATATAATTTTGTTGGTTTACAGAATGTATTTTTAGATTAATTAAAACAAGCCTAGGAAGAAGTATGGTTAAAGCCCCGTGGTATGGGTACAGTCCAAGTGCTATACTAAGTAACAGGCACCTGAGGATTTGGAGACCCAGACCCCCATGAGCTCCACAGTCAAAGAAATGGAGCTCATTAGCCTGACACCCACCCCTTATGTGTGTCAGGTTCACTATTTACCAGAGTTCCTTTAAAAGTAGCCTGAGGCCCCCAAAAGCATCTCCCCCTCAAGTGCTCGCCCTACCCTTCCCTGTGTGTATCCTGCTGTACTGTTAGCTTTTCCAAATAAATCTCACTTTTCTAAATAAATCTCTACACGTGCCTCTTTTGACACACCCAGAAATTCATTTCTGTGGTGTAAGTCAAGAGCCTCTGCCAGGGCTGAGAAGAGCTTCAGACCTCATCTGGTGACAGGCTGACATGGTTTACATTATCTGATCTATAGATAATGTTGGAAAGTCCCCTAAATTATGTTTCTATTTTTTTTTTTTTTTGTATTGGGGATTGAACTTAGGGGCCCTCTACCATTGAACTACAACCCCAGTCCTTTTTATTTTTTACTTGGATATAAGGTCTCACTAAGTTGCTTAATAACCTCACTAAATTGCTGAGGCTGGCCTCAAACTATCCATCCTCCTGTCTCAGTCTCCTGAGTTGCTTGGATTACAGGTATGAGCCAACTGAATTTGGCTTCAAAATGTTATCTTTCTACTTGTTCATGTTGAGTTGTTTAATGCATCCAAAAAGCAGGAAAGGACCAGGCACGGTGGTGCACGTCTGTAAACCCAGCGGCTCAGGAGGCTGAGGCAGAAGGATGGTGAGTTCAAAGCCAGCCTCAGCAAAAGTGAGACCGTGTCTCTAAATAAAATATAAAATAGGGCTGGGGATGTGGCTTAGTGGCCGAGTGCCCCTGAGTTCAATCCCCAGTACCCATTAAAAAAAAAAAAAAAAAAAAAAAAGCAGAAAAGGTTTACACACTAGAATGACAGAGGGGGCTGGTTTCTTGACTCTTATGCACCGCTCCTCACCTAGCACGTGTGAGGCCCTGGGATTGATCCTTAGCACCACATAAAAATAAAGGCATTGTGTCCACCTACAACCAAAAAAAATATTAAAAAACAAACAAACAAACAAACAAACAGGGGCCTAATGTTTTCTCTGATAAGTGGATGCTAATCCATAAGGGGGGGCATGGGATGAGTGGAGGAACTTTGGATGGAGCAAAGGCAGGGAGGAGGAAAAGGAGGAGGAAAGGCGTTGGAATGAGAGGGACTTCATTACCCTAGGTATGTATATAATTGAACGAATGGTGGAATGGTGAGACTCTACTTCATAYACAACCAGAGAACGGAAAAATTCTGCTCCGTTTGTGTACAATGAATGGAAGAACTTTCTACTGTCATGTATAACTGATTAAATTAAAAAAAAAAAAAACTTCTGGGTTATGTTAAATGCTAGATCACAATAGATCACAAGGAAAATAGCCTCAGTTTTAGTTTGATTTCCACCGTAAGTGCAGCGACCGGTAGGCTGCAGCATCCAGTAGGTGTTTAGAAGTCAACCAGCAAATGTTTGAAGCCTCTACCTTGTCCCACAAATCATTTCCGGTGCTAGGAATCAAGGGTGAAGGATAGACCTCCAGACCTGATCTGGAGGCACACACTTGTAATCCCAGCGGGTTAGAGGTTCATTCCACACTTTGGAATGAGCGAATGGATGAATGAATGGATGGGAAAATGAGTACTTTGAGCCACTCATCAATAACTTCACACATGCAGAATGACAGGGTGAACACAAAGAAATAGCACATTTCTGTTAAAAAAAAAAAACAAAAAATCCCGTGCAAGCGGTGACATCTTCAAAAGCGAGTCAGGCCTGAGACAATGGTTTTAAACGTTTCTATGATGATTTTAAAATCGTATTCAAATATTGTTAAGATTTACTGCTRTTTTGGAAAATTTTGAGGTGGAAAGTGCTCAGGTTTTGACAGTCCATGTCCTAAATCCTTAAAGTAATTGACATTAAAATGAAAAAGAAAAAAAAAAAAAAACGTAAATCAGGCAAATCGGGCAGACAAAATAGGGACTCAGGGCGGGCTAGAGTCACGAACCTAGATTTAAATTATCTTTAGGTGACAGCCAGGATTTGAAAATGCACAAAATTCACGCAAGATGAAGAGGCGAATTATCTTTTTTTTTTTTTTTTTTTTTCTTTTCTTGCTTTCCCGGGCTGGAATCCAGCGCAGCGCCTCCCGCCACGTGCGCCGGGGTCACAGCACATCTGCACCCCGCGGCGCACGCTCCGCGCGGGCTGGGGGAAGCTCCGGGGCGGGGGCCTGCTGGAGCGGCTGGAGCTGCGGGCGGCGCTGCTCGGCCCCTCGGGCGCGCGCGGATGCAGGCCTCAGCCGGGGAGGGAGAGGGGACCGGCGGGCTGCTGCTGGTGGGCGGGCCGGGGGAGGGTCCCCGCGCCGGAAAGCGCCCGGGGCTGGGGGCGGGCCTGGGCCTGGCCTACCTCGAGCCCCGCGCTGCGTTCGGAGCCGAGACCCTGCYCCCCCAATCCGGCGCCACTACCAACCCGGGCCTCTCGTGGTAGCTTCACTCCCGCTAGCGCCTCATGGACGCCAAGAAACTGGTGGTCGTTTTTGGAGCCACAGGTGAGCGAGGCACGAAGCGGGCCCCGAGCGCGCAGGGCGCGGAGGCCTAAGCGCGGCGCGGACGCGGGAGCCGGCTCTGGGGCAGCGGGGCGGGGGAAGGGTTCCGCGCAGGGGGAGGATTGCCTTGGAGTTACTTTTTAAAACATTAGCACCGCGATCCCGGCAACTCGGGAGCCCGAGGTAGAGGACTGCAAGGTGGAGACCAGCCAGGGCACCTTAGTAAGACCCTGACTCAAAATAGAAGGGTCTGGGGGTGTAGTTCAGTGGTCCAGCACCTTMGAGCAAAGTAACAGTGATGAGGGCGATGTTCCAGGCGGGCCTGTTGGCACACCCCTGTAATCCCAGTGACTCAGGAGGCTGGGGAAGAAGGATCGTCAAGTTTGAGGACTGCCTGGGCAACTTAGTGAGATTCCTTTCAAAATAAAATTAAAAATTCAGTGGCAAAGTACCCCTGGGTTCGATCCCCAGTACTTGAGAAAAAAAATTGCTCTAGATACCAAAATTAAATTTTCCCTCCCTACTGTTCCATCAGTTACCAAGTTTCTTGAGCTTTCTAACGGTATAGACTCATGCAAGTAGGTATAACTTTTTCAGTTGGTAGCATTGTATTTTGCTCGTACCTGTTTTTTTTTTTATTTCATATATATTTATTTATCAAATCCTTTTGTACTTTTTTTTTTTTTCCTTTTTCGGTGCTGGGGATGGATGCCAGAACCTGGTGCATGGCAGACTAGCTTAGATCACTAAGCTACATCCCCCAACCTGAGGGATGGTTTTTATTTTCTACCTTTTGGTTGTTTTAATTTAATCAATTATTATCATTGTTTTACTGAGAATTGAATTCAGGGGCACCCCCAGTTGTTTTTTTAAATTTTTWAAAATTTTATTTTTGGGTACCAGGGATTTAAACCAGGAATGCTTTACCATATAGCCACATCCCCAGTCCTTTTTTTGTATTTTATTTAGAGATAAGGTCTTGCTGAGTTGCTTAGGGCCTGGCTAAATTGATGAAGCTGACTGTGAACTGGCAATCCTGCCTCAGCCTCCCCAGCCACTGGGATTACAGGCATGCACCACCACACCCAGCTCTTTTTTATTTTATTTGTTTATTTATTTATTTATTTAAAGAGAGAGAGAAAGAGAATTTTTCAATATTTATTTTTCAGTTTTCGGTAGACACAACATCTTTATTTTATTTTTTTATGTGGTGCTRAGGATCGAACCCAGCRCCCCACACATGCCAGGCGAGCGCATTACTGCTTGAGCCACATCCCCAGCCCCTCTTTTTATTTTTGATACAGGGTTTGCTAAGTTCTCCAGGCTGGCCTCCAATTTGTAACCCTCTGCCACAGCCTTCCGAATAGCTATTGGGATTACAGTAGTGCACCACTATGCTAGGCAGTGATGTTTTATTTTTTAAACCAAAGGGTAGCTCATGACTATTGATGCATCATTTTATACAAGTGAAATATCCCATAGTTCATTTTTTTTTAAACTTCAGTATTTATTTATTTATTGGTGCTGGGGATTGAACCCGAGACTTTGAGCTTGCTCGGCAAGTGCTCAAAATCCACAGAGACAAGTAAATTAGTAACTGGCCAAGGCTGGGGACAGAGGAATGGGGAATGATTGTTAATAAGCATGAGCTTATTTTAGGGGTGAAAAAAATGTTCTAGAATCGGATGGTGGTGATGGCTGTACAGTTCAGTGAATATACTAAACACCACTTGATAGAGGTGAATATTATAGTATTATATCTCTCTAAAGCTGTTATTTTTAATCTTTTAATGAACATCATGCATGAAAAGATTTCCTGGGTGTTTCTTGCTGTGGTAACCATTCCCTTCTGGGCTCCAATGGCAGCTCCAATGCTGTTTTGAGAACCTCCTCTCCTACTTTTTGCCCCAGAAAGCCCAGATGGGAAGATGTGATGCTGGAGGTCTTTTTTTTTTTTAATATTAATTTTTTAGGTGTAGATGGACACAACACAATGCCTTTATTTTTATGTGGTGCTGAGGATCAAACCCAGGTCCCACCCATGCTAGGCAAGCACTCTACCGCTGAGCCACAATCCCAGCCCGATGTGGAGGTCTTTATGAACTCTTCACAGGTGCCCAGGGGGGCTCAGTGGCCCGCACGCTTCTGGAAGATGGGATGTTCAGGGTTCGAGTGGTGACCCGGGATCCTGGGCAGACGGCAGCAAAGGAGCTGAGGCTGCAAGGTGCTGAAGTGGTAAAAGGAGATCAGAATGACGAGGCCAGCATGGAGTCGGCCCTGACCGGGGCTTATGCCACCTTCATTGTGACCAACTACTGGGAGAACTGCAGCCAAGAGCAGGAGGTCAAGCAGGTGAGGGCAGGCAGGAGGGAGGCCAGGGTCAGGGCCAGGAGCAGCTCATCTTGGGAGCGCTCTATCCTAGCTGGTCCTGGGAGGCAACTCTGACTTGCCTTTCCCCTCTTCTTCATGCTGCTGTTCAAGCTTTGATGGGGGACCAGCCTTCTGGCACAGGAACCCTTGGGGACCAACCTCATCCAGCCACAGCACACAGTGGACAAAAACAAATTCCCTGGTTGGCATTTGTTCTCAGTCAGTAATCCTGAGAAACCTGTGTGAGTCACTGTATTAAGTGATTATAATCCAGGTGGTTTAAAACCACAGAAATCTAGCTCACAGTTCTAGAAGCTAGAAGTCCAAAATCAAGGTGTCCTTCAGGTCACACTCCCTCCAAGGGCTGCAGGGAGAATCCTTCCTCACTTCTCCCAGCTTCCGGTGACTCCAGGCCATCCTGGGCTTTGGGTACATCGCTCCAGTCTCTGCCTCCATCTTCCCCTGCCTTCTGTCTCCTCTCTTCTTGTCATTTAGGGACTATCTGCTTAATCAAGGATGATCTCATCTCAAGATCCCTAACTGCAAAGATCTTTTCTCCATTAAGGTCACATTCACAGTTTTCCAGGGGTGCAGACATGGGCATATCTCTTTGGAGGCCACCATTTAATCCTCTSACAATCTCATGTGGCAGGTGTCATGTTTTTCCAGTGGTTGGAATGTCTGCATCACTGGTCCTGGAGGTACAGCCAGTGTGTGGCAAGGCCTCAAGAGAGTTAGAACCTCAGCAGCTGTGCACTTAGCAGGAGCTGCAGTACCTCCGAGGTAGACCTCAGGTTTCTCCAAGGAAGTGGGCTGAGTTCCATGGACAGGATGGTCAGGCTAGCAGAGATTTGATGTGGAAATTGAGTGGGCCTCCTCACAGCCCAACCCACATTCCCTCCCTGAGCCTGGTGGGTTGCCATTGAGAGCCACCTGAATGATGTGGAAAGGTGACTCCAGAGCCTGGTGGTTCAGGCCTTACAATTTTGTGTTCATGGGTGTGTGCTGGGGGTAAGCATCATTCTGGAAGAGGGGGCTTCCTCTGGGATAGATGAGCCTAGCTTTTAGCCTCACAGATGTGGCAACTCTGGGATTAGAGCTAGGGTAGAAGATTGTGGTCAGGGACATGCATCTTCCTTTTAGCTTTGTGATTTCTCCTGTCCACCAGGGAAAGCTGCTGGCTGATCTGGCCAAGYGCCTGGGCCTCTGCTACGTGGTCTACAGTGGCCTGGAGAATATCAGGAAGCTGACGGCTGGGAGGCTGGCAGCAGGCCACTTTGACGGCAAAGGGGAGGTGGAGGAATACTTCCGAGACATTGGCGTTCCCATGACCAGTGTGCGGCTGCCCTGCTATTTTGAGAACCTCCTCTCCTACTTTTTGCCTCAGAAAGCCCCAGATGGGAAGAGCTATCTGCTGAGTGAGTGCCCCTTCCCAAGCACAGTGAAGCAGAGTTCTGACTGTGAAGCCACAGGTGTAGAGAAAAGCAGGCTTACTGTCAAGATTGTTCTGGGTCCAAGTCCTGGCTCCCTCACATTGGGCCTGTGACCGTTCCACAGGGACAGTGAGGAAACCAACCAGTGGTACTGATGGGTGATTTCTCCAATGRGTGATTTTTCCAAGTAATAATAACTGCAGACAGCAGCACTGTTATTATTACCTCTTCAAAGAAAGGAAAGGGGGTTGGGAGGATGGCCCAGTGGTATGTCCTGATCCCCAGCATTGCAAAAAAGTATTTTAAAAGGAAGGTTTGGATGGTAGGGTTCAGTTGTAGATTTCAGTGGGAACATCTGGTCTTTTTTTGTGCCTGTTGGCCGGTCTGTAAATAGGGGCTCTGGCTTGGAAGGAACTTCAGGCAACCTACGTTCTGCCAGTTGGTGGTCAGATTAGAGCAGGATGCACTGGAGGCCAGAGTGGGWGGGGCCAGGTTCAGCTAGCCCCTCTTCACACTGAGTGTTAATGCCACTACCCTCATGTAAGGACATAGGCACTGCCAGGGAGCCTAGCCCACCTGGTAAGCAGAGTCTGGTGCCCGTAGTGGCCTGCTGTACCACCCTTTAGAGTTTGCAGAATTATTGTGAGAAGTTCACCTTATCAAGGATTCWGAGTTGGACTCATCCCCTCAGGCTCCTGGCATCACACCTGGACACTGACTAGTGCTGATATGTGTAGGTGCCCAGTAGACTAACTCTGGGCTCTGACCATGCCAGCATGTCTCTTTACCTACCACCCCCCAGACTTGCCCATGGGTGACATCCCCATGGATGGTATGGCTGTGAGTGACCTGGGTCCTGTGGTGCTCAGCCTGTTGAAGATGCCAGAAGCATATATCGGGCAGAACATCGGACTCAGCACCTGCAGACACACCGCAGAGGAGTATGCCGCCCTGCTCACCAAGCACACGGGCAAGACTGTGCACCATGCCAAGGTGGGCTCCTCCCTTCTGGGGTGGGTGAGGTCCCAGRTCTTCCCAGGCAATTCCACAGCCTCAACAGGTCCTTCTAACTCTCAAAGGGGCCTTTTTGGGTCTAGGGAAGTAGTAGTTAGGGCTCTCCCCACTCTGAGCAAGGCAAATCTAAATCCATTGTCATGGTTAACATGTTGTGCTGTTCCTGTGTGACCAGAATGAAATTTCTGGCTATGTGTTTTGACCAAGGATACAAATTTTCATAAAGAAAGGACAGTAGAAACCTAGGCAAGGCAGGCTAAAGACACAGGGCCCACTGGGCTTCTCTGTAGGACGTGTGTTGAAGGGGAGCAAGTGGGGAGGATAGAAAGGCCTAACCCTGTCCCTCTTGTCCTGCCTGGGTGGGCAGGAGGCATTCCCATCTCCTCCTCTCCCCACTGACCCTCAGGCTTCCTGACCAGACCCCTGGGTGCCTTCTTTCTAATGTTTGTTGTTTGCATTACAGAAGACATTAAGAAAATATGGGAAACAGTTTCTAGGACAAGTCACCCTCAGAGCAGCAATGGGGAASTTGGGGGCCAGGTTCCCAGACTCAGTTTCAACATGTGAGCTTGGGACCTGTCCTGACCCCTGTCTGCTTCCTTATTTGTCAAATGGATATATTATAGCTTCCACCTTGTGCTGCTGTGAGGACTAAATGAAATAATTGATGTTAGGGCTTTCTTAGCAGAATGCCTAGTGCCTAGAAAATGTATATTAAGTGGCCATGTGTTATTTGTTCATTTAGACAGTGAGACTGAAGAGCTATATTCCCAGACCTTTTATTTTGAAACAAGATCTCACTAAGTTGCTGGCCTTAAACTTGTGATCCTCCTGCCTTAGCCTCCTGCATTGTTGGGATTACAGATGTGTGCCACTGCACCCAGCACCATGTATTATTTATTTTAAAAATATTTTTTTAGTTGCCAATGGATTTTTAACTTTGTATATGTGGTGCTGAGAATCGAACCTAGGGCCTCTCACATGCTAGCCAAGCACTCTACCACTGTGCCACAACCCCATTCCCACCATGTATTATTTTTTTTAAAAAGAGAGCAATAAAGGCCTGGGTTGGGTTGTTGGGTTGGCTGAGGAGGTAAGGTTCAGTTTGGGAGGGAAAGGAGAGTAGCTCTGGCTTTTAGGCATGGAAGTAATGTTGCAGACTTCTCATTTGGAAGGAGCCCAAAAGCTTTCATGAGTCAAGATCTCATGATCTTGAACAGTCTTTAAACTGACTAATCAGGTAGCTTTTGAGGAACTGTGGTTTCTAAACTTCATCTCTGAAGTAGAATGTTTTCAAGTGACCATGTGTTGAGGACCCCAGTTGGTGACCAAGAGGCTAGTAGCAGCTCTGGGTGAAGCAGGTTAGGCAGACCTTAGCCCACCTGCCTCCCTGGTGTGTTGGAGGAGGCCAGATATAGTAGCCTCCCTCTGTTTCCAGACAACTCCTGAAGACTACGAGAGGCTTGGCTTTCCTGGGGCCCGTGACCTGGCCAACATGTTCCGTTTCTACTCTCTAAAACCTGACCGAAACATTGAGCTGACCCTGCAGCTCAACCCCAAGGCCCGGACGCTGGATCAGTGGCTGGAGCAGCACAAAGGGGACTTCACCCAGCTGTGACCTACCCACTTTGCAGCCCCAAGTCACGAGATGGGAGGCCCAAAGGCACAAAATATTTTTTTCAATAAAACCACTGTTTTCACAGATGGCTTCCAAAAGAAAAAGGCTTTGTTTTGGGGTGGCAGCTGCTAGGACACAAACAGCATGAAAATTCTAACAGGAAGCATCAAATGCTTGAGTTTGGGGCCCAGTCTCTGTCCCCCTGCAATAAAAGTAACCACGTGGGGTCTGGCTGAAGGGATCGTGGGTAACTGAAGATGGAAATGTTAAAGTTAAGGCAAGCACCGAGCTAGGGGTGTAGCTCAGTGTTACAACATTGCCTACCATGTCAAGATCCTGTGCTCAATCCCCAGTGCCATGATAAAAAAAGTTTAGTCAAAGCAGGTGTGAGATGGGCTGTGATGGAGCACGCCCAATCCYAGTAGCTGAGGCAGGAAGATTGCGAGTTCAAAGCCASTCTCATCAACATAAGAGAGACCATAAGAAGTTTATCAAGACTCTATCTCAAAGTAAAACAATTTCTAAAYATATGTATGAGGATGTGGTTTGCAGCAGGGGGTGGGGGTGGGGAGCCCCAATCCAGCGAGAGTGGCTGTGGATTCCCCAGGTTACCCCTTGGCTGTAGCTGAGAAACCACTGCCCCTTCACTCTTCACTCTCTAGGCATTAAGGCTGCAGGCCATGCCCTAGACCCCTCAGAACTGTTGACTTTTATGTGTGTATGCTGGGAATGAATCCAGGAGTGCTTTACCATTAAATTACATCTTCAGCCCTTTTTATTTTTAGAGATAGGTTCTCACTAAATTRCTTAGGGCCTGGCTAAGTTGCTGAGGCTGGCCTTGAATTTGTGATGCTCCTGCCTCAGCTTCTAGRGTTGGCGGGATTATCTGTGTGCTCCATCATGCCTGGCCAGAACTGTGGACTTTTTAATGTAAAGTTCTATGCTTTTTATTTATTTTTCTTTTTTGCAGTACTGGGAATGGAATTCAGGGCCTTGTGCCTGCTGGGCAAGTGCTCTACTGCCACCCCCAACCTGTGCGGGCAGCTGAACTTAAGGTCCCTCTGTGAATTTGCAGGGACACCAAATAAAACACAAACACACTTTACCTTTTCACAAGCTTCAGGACGGYGTCTCTGCTCTTGGCCTCAGGCTCTCCAAAAGGGAGAGCAAGAGAAAGTCACGAGGCTAGCGACAGAGAGCGAGCACATTCGGAAGTGAGCTTTTATTGAGGGGACTCTTTGTTCTTAGAAAGTTCTATCTAAAAAAGGCCAGAAGGGGCAGGGTTACAAGGGACACATGAGTGTAACTCAACCCTCATGGGTAATGCCTACATCTGAAGATGCCTTTGCTCTCAGAGCTGGGACAACGCCCAAGTCACCACAAATGTAGTGATTGGTCAGAGCCCCTTGCTTCAGGACTGGAAGGCATGGGTCATTCAGAGTGGCTCCCCACACTCTACCACTGAGCTACATCCCCCAGCCCTATACAAAGTGTGTAAATGGCCCCCTTATGGCCCTTAAAGAGTCACACTTAGAAGATAAGTACCGATTTGATAAGCAGGAGTGATTGAAAATGCCTCTGTAAAGCTGTCCAGCTGCCATGGTCCATTTTCAGTGTGTCCACACTGCTGTTGGACAGGAAGGATGGTCAGTCTTGGCACAGATGGCTGGAAGATAGTTGTGCACTTTCACTGAGGGGTTCCAATGATAGGGAAGGATGCAAAGGCCAGTGAGTGGAACCAACAGGGCTTACTGTGAGGAGGGCAGCTCAGGCTGGAGACAGGATCAGCAGGGGCTTGAGTGGGGATGGGGCTGAGACCAACTGGCCTTGTCTACTCTGACTGCACCTTCCCTGGCCCACCCTCCCAATATTTTAGCAAACACTGACCATCTACTTCTGTTCCTATTCTCAATCCCCAAAGGCTCGGTGTCCTGGAGATAACTTTTTTGTGTGAGGGATAGAACCTGGGGGGCTTTATCACAGCCACACCCCCAGCCAGTTTTTATTTATTTTGAAATTGGGTCTTGCTAAATTGCTCAGGTTGGCTTTGAACTTCTGAATCTTCTGCCTCAGCCTCCCAAGCAGCCATTTTTGTATTTAAAATACATCTTCTTGCACCCCAGCCCAACTTAAAGGGAGCAAAGAAATCTCAAAACAAAACTCAAGAGCCACATAGAAATAAACCAACCCTAATCCTGGAAGCAGCACTTAATTCTGCAGTTGTTCCAGGGCCACTTTTCCACACCATGAGGGAAGGAGGCTTCAGCACAGCAACAATGGTGTCTCTAGCCAGAAATTCCACCTTCCTCTTTCAAAGACTCCAGACTTACACTTTCCAAGGACAGGATGTGAATTAGGCCCAGCTGACTTCTCCAGGAACAGACCTACACTTTCTTGAAACTCTGTCCAACCTATCACTGCATTCCCAGGGCTTGTGTAGTAGTCCCTGGCCCACTGCACGTTCACAGCAGGAAGGCAATAAACACTGTTGAATTAAATACTGGCAAGTATCCAAGTTTACCAAATGTTACTTTTTTTTTTTTTTTGTACTGGAGATTAAACTGAGGGGCACTTAACCACATCCTCAGCCCTTTACTTTACTTAAGAGACAAATCTCTGAGTTGCTTAGGGCCTCACTAAGTTGCTGAGGCTGGCTTTGAACTCTTGATTCTCCTGCGTCAGCCTCCTGAGCTGCTGGGATTACAGGCATGTGCCACCATGCCGGCACCAAACTTCTGAGCCTGCCTTATACATGACTCTTACCCCATCTCTACCCAGCTCAGGGAATAATCCCAACACCTTCCTGTTCAGCCTAGACCACTGGAGCGGGCATGAGCTGTGTGCCAGGGACCAGGTGTCTGCTGAGTGCCAGACTAGTTAAATCATGATACACATTTCTCTTTTTCAGTACTAAGGTGAACCCAAAAGGCACTCTACCACTGAGCTACCTCATAAGTACTTTTTATTTTGAGACAGGGTCTTGCTGTCCAAACTCAAAGAAATGACCACAATTTAGGTTTTAAATATCTTTTGCAGTAGACAATCTTATTTACATTAATACATAATCACTTTACATTCTTAAATCAGACCCTAACAAATGCTTTAATGTTGTAAATTATAAAGAGAAAAAAGGAAACTACTGAGAAGTGTTCTTCATTAACCTGCATTACGCTAGCTCTAGCTTGCGGTCCTTGAAATGCAGAAACCACAACATGCTACCAGCAGTGTCTAGGAACAGGGYGTTTGCTCTGACTGCACGGAGCGACCTTCTTGGCTGAGGTTGTGCTTTCTTCTTCAAACACGTAGGAAAAGACAATGATTCTCAGCACTGAGTAATCTGAACATGCATGTAAGTGGGGAAAACCAGGCCCCTGGGCTGACATGGCCTTTTGAGGTAAGGCTTTTTGAGTTACCTCAGTGAGCCAGGTCTGCCCAGCAGAGCTACAGCTGCCATGGCTCAGAACGGCAGGAGGCCCTCCACTCCCATTGCCCAGACAGCGGGACAAATGACGAGTAGAACCTCCAGGATCCTTTGGCCTTTCAGTGTGGCTGCCCAGGCCCCCAGCACCCACTTTCCAGAGGCTTGGTACCTTGAGGAATTAAAAACCAACTCCAAGAGGAGGGACTGATGTCTCTGCAGAGGCTGTTAGCGGAGGACGGTTCCTGGGGAAGCCAACCTGTCAAGAAGGACTYATTCTGGGACCTCTGGAGGTTTGCTGTGAGAGAAATTAATCACTTCACAACTTGGTACAGTTTAAGGCTTCATTTTTAAGCTGTGAGCATGGCCTTTAATTCTTTTAACTAACTACGATTTCCACATTTGATTCCAGATTTGAGTTTTAGTACTGCAAGAAGAGTCCAACTGCCTTATCCTGCCTGAGCCAAAAGAGGCAATTCACCTACCCATGGACAGGAAACTTCCACTAGCCCCTGGATGCTACATTTTACTGTCCAGGGGCTGTCCACCATGGCCTTTCCTGTAGAGGTGCTGTCACATGGTTTTGCTGTTGCCAGGCAGTCCTGAGGGCTCTGTAGGCCAGGTCTCAGGGCTGCTGTTCAGGAATCCTCCCATCTCTGAGGTGCCTTGGCCACCAGAAGAGGCTGCTGCTCCTGGCCTAGTTTCCAGTGGACCGTTTTCCTAAGCCAGGGAGACAAACAGTTATATGTCAGATGCCAGAACACATCCCTGTGGGAGAGCTTTCATTGACCTTTGGGAAGAGGCTGTGCAGACAGGGTCAAAAATCCTTAGCACCAGGGATGAGCATAAAAGTCTCTGTGTCCAGAGACACTGCAAGTGCTATGCCTACAGCAGCCCCCAGGTTTGCACAGTGCTGCACTGCCCAGGCAGGATGGGCAGCCATGAAAGGSGGGGGGGGGGGGGGGGGGGGGGGGGGGGGGGGGGGGGGGGGGGGGGAGTAGTGGAGGAGATCTGAGTTCTAGGCCTGGCTCCACCACAAGTTGTCCTCTGTGACCATGGACAAGCTGGTCCTACCACTGTGGGACAGAAAACCCCTGGGAGCTGGTGTAGGAGCATCATGAGGCAGCCTCCCCAAACACAAGCTCTCCAATAGAGTCTGAACTGAGTTCAAACCCAAGAGGCCGGCTGCTGCAGCCTGGCTCAGCCCTGTACTGAGTGGCTGCCACACTCTGCTCCCATGGGTGGAGAGGCTGCTAGATTTACCATGCCTCCAAGTGGTATCTCTTCTAGCTCTTTTGTTTGGGTATGGGGTATGATGTTGGTTAAAGTGAGAGAAAACAGTGATTAGTTCATAGAGGGAAACAAAGGGAAGGGACCTCACAAGTTTTCCTACCTCAGCTGGGATATCAGGAGGTAAACATTTTCTTAAGTTTGGAAAGGAATCCCTCGTCCTCCCCAGCCTCACTCCTAGCCTTGCTTCCTGCGGAGCTATCCATGGTCCTGCCACCTGGGCACAAACAGCAGAAAGAACCGGGGTCAAGGGGTCAAGGGCACACACCTCCAGGTGTCACATCCCCAGACTCCCACCTACCCACACCTGGCTGCCAGGGGCCTGGCACTTGAGAAACATCCAAGTACCACCTCTAGAAGAGTGGGGACCACTCCCAAGCTGGCAAGCACTGTCTCAACTGGTCAAGCTACAGTTTACTTACACACATTGTAATCTTTAGGATAAGCTTACAGGTAAATTTAGATGGGCAAAAAAACAACAGGGACACAGAGAGGGTAGGTGGTCTACCCAAGGACACAGAGCCAGCTAACAGGAAGTAGAGCTCAGTTCAAACCCAAGCTGCCTATCTCCAAAGCTTAGGCTCTTAACCATCTATCCAACTGGCCAGAAGGCAAGTAATATCAAGAAAAGATCCTATTTCTAGGACTACTGAACCAGGTTCCATACTGTGCATGTATGCCAAAACACACCCCCTAGCAGTGAGGGGCCCACTGCCACACTGATCCCTCTGATGTGTGCATCTCATTTCATCTATCACAACACCTGTGGGGAGTCTATGTCTCCCCAAGCAACCTCCTCACACCTAGTACCTATAATGCCCGCTGCTCTGGAGAAAAGGCAGTTGGGCTGATGTTTCTTTAGGTGCCAGGCCAGGACTCCCAAGGAGGTGCTGCAAAGATGTGTTACTTTAAGGATCTATAAGGTCTCACAGCCTGAGTGTTCTAACTACAGGGCATATTCTCACTGTGCCAACAGAGTGAAAATGGTCAGTCCCCAAGAGCTTAGTCTGAATCAAACAAGGCCTTGGAATGAGAAGCCCATAGCTCAGAGTGACAGTCCCCAAGCAGGGGTAGAGCAGGGTCCCTAGGATACAGGAAAAACATGGGACCAAGGATCATTCCTCTGACCTAGCATGTTCTCAAAGCTCATGTGCTTCCTCAGAGAAGGAATGGGGACCCAAGCAACACACCGAGATGTAGGCAACTGTCAAAACTACTGGGGCCACGTCCAAGTTTAAGAGCTGCACATTGAGGACCTGGCTCTGTACAGCACACAGCATGCCTCAGAAGCTGCCTTGAGGTCAAGAAGCCAAGTGAGGCCTCTCTCAGTTCTTCCCATCCCCTTCTTACAAAATGGATTCTAACACAATGTATCCACAAACCACAAGTTTTACTCCTATGCCTCCCAAGACAAGGGCAAACAGGATTTTTTAATTTTGTTAATGTCCTTGGTAAGTGAAGAGCAAATCCTGGTGTGTGATAAGAGTGTGGCAAATTATGAACTGTTGCTGATTGAAGTAGCTCTTAACTACTATTATCTCCTGCTTACAGATGATGAAACTGAAGTTTAGAGAGGTAATGATTTACCTAAATCTTCACAGTTACTGACAACAGAGCTGGGATATGGATTATCTGATATCCGGACTCAAGCTCTTAACTAATCAAGTGGGGCACAAAAACACTCAGCAACTGCTGTCGCCCACTTTCCTTGTCCCCTGGGTGAAAAGGATAACAGTTAGGGGACTCTTTTCTTAAACCAAGGAGACAGTTACATTTCTGATGCCAAAACACATCCCTGTGGGAGAGCTTTCATTGACCTTTGG